AATCACTGCAGTTTAAGTGCCATATCTCTGACATGCTCTGACTGATTATGTTCAAATTTTATATATTCATTATACATCATGTCATAGATTTACAGATGTATTCAAAATGACTCACTCACTCACTGGTGGCTATTTTGTTTTACTTATTGCTGTTCCAGAGATCAGATACTGAATTGTCAAATATTTCAATTTAAAAAATATCATTATAATCAAGCATCAGCTTCTGGATCCATATCTCCGACATGTTTATATTCCAAATATATTATCATATTTAACCGGGTAAGTGCCCAGGGTCCTGAACATGGAAAATTGCCAAAAAATAGTGATGAAAATCCACAAAAATTGACAACACGCAGATCGAACTGCGGCAGGGAATAGAATGTCAATGAAAACATGCAATGGAAATGAATGAACAATATGCAGCATTAGAAGTAAAACAAAAATAATGTATTGCTTATAATGTGACAAATAAACCAGGAATATTAAAGATTTACATTGAAGAATCATTTGAATTAGGATTTCCCCGCCGACAAACACGCCCAATATGTGTGAACTCAAAATGAATTAAAATGTCGGGGGTTAAACTGCATAAAATTATTTCCGTTTATGCAGAGAGCGTGCACCCATCTAATTTTCCGTTGACACTGCCGTTTTAGTTTTCTATCTTCAGCAGTAGTTTCAATCCATTCACACAGCTTTACGTTTTTTCTCTCTTAATATTCTTAATGAAACGATATTGATTGCCTAAAAACAGTTTGACCCGCTACACGCTTTATTTGGGAATTCAAAGTGATGAATATAGTCATAACAAATTATACTTGCTAATGACAAAAAAAGAACGTAACATCGCGTGAAACGTACTTCACGCTCTACTCGCTTTAAAGCTGCCCGCCTATGCAAATGAGCATAGTTGCGGACGAAGCCTTACAACTTCAAGATGGCGTTAATGTTACCAGCTCCCTGATGTTACACCGTAATTAGGCAGGCAACAATGTGTTTTGTAACCCCTTTCATCACCTCCTGCGGATGTTTTATATGTTAATAAATCAATGTTAAATACTTGCTGATTACTGAACCGTGCGGCATGTCGTCGGTAAATACTTGTTTACCGTAGTTCACAAGCAGTCTGCGAAATAACCATTTAAAACTAAACATTTCTATAATAAAGCATGCTGTGTACCTTTACATAGATCGACCATTGAGATTCGCGTTTTTCGACCAACCAACCAATGGGAATCGTGCTCTTCGCAGAATGACTCTGCGATCCTGTCGCAGAGTGCAATAATCAACATTCGGCGAGTCGCACAATCACGGCGCAGAGTTAGTTTTTAAACCCCCATACATACCTCTTACAATGAATAACATAGTTGAACTCTGGTGACCTTGCCCTTTGTTATATAATATAATTCCCTTTATCATAGTTTGTTTCAATATAAATATGCATTGTCATAATTAATTTTGAATACAAACAAGTTTTAGGGTTGAACCAACAGTGGGGAATCAGTCTACCGAATGTCCTTAAAAGAAGTAAATATCTTACAAAAACATTGGTGCCTTATTTGTTTAATTATTTTAAGGAACATAATTTCCAGCTTTATTGAAAGTAATTGAGATATTTTAGATAAAACAAATGTCTCATTGCAAAAAAAAA